TATAACAAAGGTCAAATGTCCCTCATTTAATATCATAAAAATTTCATATCATGAAATTTAATTACATTTTCTGACAAAGGTTATCGTAACGTAAAATACAATGACGTCATAATACAATGAAAACAAACATTGAAGTATGCTATTAAGGAAGCGTTTCGGAATTTGAGTCAGAATTTCCGACAAATACCTACCTACCGCAGCGCCAGTATCCAACTGGATTAGACGCCACCGCAATCCCTTAATCTTAAGGTTGAGACGTACTTTAAGGCAAATCTACATCTGTACCGCCTTGTGGATTAACATTTGGGTTCATATCATTGCTAGAGATCCGTTAATTAGAATAGTGTAATGTAAGTTTATTCTTCTTACGCTCTTTTTAAATTTATAGTCACATTGCCCTAATTTTTTATCGAAAAACTTAATAATTAGTGATGAATTCCAGCACCAATAGAAATATCTTAGGTTACCTAAACTATAAATATAATAACTTAAGTATAATGTATAAAAATGGATTATATAACAATACTACAATCTATTATTTTGTATGTCAATCCACCATGACCAGGTTATACGGTAAACAAGTGTTAAGCGTCTATATAAATGGTATAAGACGTCAAAACCAATTTTTCTGTTATACAACATGATCCAAAAACATTTTATTAATGCTCAAATGACAAAACTTGTAAATTTAATGTAAAATTCTCCAGATGAAACAAATAAAGTTAGGTAAAACAGATATGTTATCATATTTTTATAACGATATAATCACAAGAAAGATAAGAAATGTTCTATTTACAAAATAATTGTTTACTTGAAATATGTACGAGACATTGTGGCTCGGCTGGTTCACGACTTAACATGTTTATGCCCTAATAATGTGTATCTACCCTGTAGACTTAATCACGAACTGAAAGCCACATAAACCCATACATAACTCAACCGTAGGTTTCCTCTGTCGAAACTCATCTATAAAAACATATTTTTATCTCTTATTTTTTAATGATAGATAGGTATAGACAATAAGATTTGAGTCTATGGAAACTTATATATTTTTTACAATTAATTAATTCAGGTTACTTTAATTACCATGAGTTATGAAGGAATTTATAAGGAATTTGTAGCATTTTACAGCACAAGTTATTGACGGACACGACGCGAATTACGTAAAAAATTATTATGAGATTAGCATATTTGCGTCTTTTTACCGACATACAAGGACGCTACTGATAAAAATATTATTCTTCTCGGAATAAAAGAGTTCTTACAAAATGTGTAATAGTTGATTTAGTTAATTTTAAAGCCATTAAACAGCAAGAAAAAAATATTGCAATGATTTTAAGTTAAATGCCAGACAAAGATGCGTCATTTTTTTCTTATCTTTTTTTTTAGTTCATAATACTTAAACAGTTTCATTTGACACACTTAAGACAAGGAAATGCGTAAATGAAATATTTACTTTTGAACTACAAATCAATAGACAACTCGACCTACAAAACGACACGGCAGTTTAAATGAAAATGCAGGTAAAATACAAGATTACATCGATAGTCCATTATCATCATTGATAGCCGGTCATTGACTGCTACAAACGCCCACTGGACATCTCTAAACTTATATTTGGTAATACTAAACAAGTTTATAGAAAATTAAATTTGATAGTAAAAAATAAAATACATTGGCAATAGTTTACATTTCCATTTTTAAATCTGGCAAAAACTTTCTTAAGCTATGTCCCTTGGGCCAAGCGAACAGCAATGCATTAAAACTTCTATACTAAAAGGTACGAGATAAATTAATGTGTTGACATAAATGTAGGTTTCAACTGGCTAAAATGGCTGCAAAAATATATTTACGTCCCTTTCATTTTCCTTAAAAGAAACAGAGATGTTTTAATAAATATATTTAGGCAGTGAAAGCCAAAGGTAACATAACGGTCATTTAGAGCCCCGTTGTCGGAGACACGGGGAAACCGTAACAAACGACATGTTGAAAGGGTGAAATAATGTAAATTATGAGAATTGCTAAACATTCTTGTTTTGCACAGAATTTCAATGGAATGTGTACATTCATGAAGGAAACAAATAGCTTTACAGTTACAAAATGTATTGTTCTATTCAGTAATATTAAGACAAATAGAGAATTGATAACTTATAAACACACGATATATTATTTCTTAAACAAACTTCAAATATTCCATCACCCTTTTTTGTCCTAATTCATTGAAACGCGTACTGTAATAACAACTACATTTCATTAACCTGCAATGTGTCTTATCAAAATTTAACGTACCTCAGGGTCGACACTACTCGCTAAAGTATTCCCTAGACAAATTTTATTAAAACTTACTATCAATTAATTCAATTAAAACATAAAAATAAGCTTTTTCAGTAAAATATGATGAACCTAAATACGTCAAAAAGAATATTAAAGAAAGAAAATTAAACAAGCGGCTACTTTCAAAGACGAAATATTTACCTATTTAGTACGAGATTACTTCATTTCAAAAATTAGCCTCTGTCTATTACGTTGAGTTGAGCAATGTATGTCTGCTTGTTTCGAGAGAAATGTCCCATGAGAATCGTTGACCTTTACGTTTATTTACTTATACAACTTTTACTTTTTGAAGATAGTAAAGTTTACATTGACTTGTAGCCTAATTACTAGGCTAGGCATATTGTTGAAATAAAATATGAACTAGATATCTTGAGACTTGCGTTTGATTCATAAATAAAAGTTCAGTTTTATTTAAAATAAATTTTCAACTTTTGTCGGTTCCCGGTTTACTTTTAGAAGGATTAAGTAATAAACATTGTTAAAACATTGTCACCTTATCGCTGTCATTTTTGTTCTGATATGAACTGACAACGGCTTTAACAATGTGGAGAGAAACAAAGAACTCTATTTACATAAATTTAAAAAAATTGTTTACTCGACACACACGTAATTGCAGACATTGTGACTCTTTCGTACATTATATACGCTTGTAACATACGAAGGTCTGTTCCCAGATGTCACAATTTATCATCTGTAATCAATTTACGTCACTAATTATATTAGTATCTGGATGTAGAGTTCCAGACTCATCCAATACTAATTCTGGTTTTAAATGTAGCCTAAAATTTTAATTTATTTTGATGTACCTGAGCATACGACGGCATCACCTTGCTTATATTTTAAATGGAATAGTTTAAATGGATGGACGGATGGATGGATGGTTGGATGAATGGATGGATGTTTGATATAAGGCACATATATCTACGAAACAGCTCGACGGATCTTGATGAAATTTGACGATGATATACATAGGCCACTTACGAAGTTATTTTTAATAATATCGCGCGACCAGAATCGCGGACGATAGCTCGTTATGTTATAATAATTACCCATAATTTAACATTGAAGATAGATTGGTGTTTGAAATTATTTTTTCTAAGATAGTTCTAAAAGAATTCAAAAGTTCACTTTTCACTTCGTTATCTGGTAGCGATTGTTCAAATTGCTTTAAGAGCATGCAGTAATCGCTTATAATCAGTTTGATATCCATCGGAATGTATTAAAAGGATAAATAGGTCAAGAAATCTGAAACCGTATAACTGTATGCGGCATTATCACTTTCAAATACTAGGAGAGTATTGAAATTATAACGAATTTATGTCCCCCGACGCCTGCGGCCGATGCATTTTTATTTCTTTTAATGTTAATTGAAATGACATGGCCGGTGTCACAGGCGGCCACTCTTTGCTTTTTATTTTTTATTAATTCTTTTTATTTGTATCCCATCGCGTCGACCCGTCGAATTCTGTACACGAGCTTTCCTATTTTATGTTATCTAATCGATGAGACGGCTACGCTTACATGGCGTTAAACTCAAATTTATTACTTCTTAATACTAAGTAAGTTCACATTCTACAACTGTACTGTTCTATACTTTCCGATTGAGAGATTTAATGATACTTAAATAGAGAGAATTTTAATTACTTTTTTTTATAATTATAAAGGTCCTAAAATTTAGTATTAAAACCTTTTTGCGTGGTTGTTCAAAGATTGTTGACCGACTAAAATTTCAAACTTAGTTACACCGACATTTTAAATGTTGCCTAACAATAGAACGGTATTCGACATGTGTTTATTATTGTAAATAAAGTAAAGATTTATTGCTGATTGTTGGTATTCTAAATGGACGTCTAGATGTTCTAAAATGTACTCAATATGTTGCAGTTGTCAATAAATTTACGTAAACATAATAACTCTATGCATCCGAGTACAGACTTAATAGTTACGACATAATATGAAAAGATTTTTTTTTCGACGTCTATGTTATTATTTTGTTATAAATCATTCATTACTTAGAGGTAAAGAGTAAGCGTGACCTTGTTTAAGCAATGTTTATTCAATTGATTCACTCTAAGCGTGATTATACACATAAGTGTCAAATCGATGCATAAAAAATATTCTAGACTTTTTGTCAAGATACGTGTTTTGTCTGTAGTTTACTTTAATATTCAAGATATCGAACACCATAATACTTTAGAGGACATAGCTCTATGATTACCATGTAAAGACGAGAATATAGTGTCATAGAATTTTGCCTTATACTGTTAACAAGTATAAAATAAACTAATAACTATAAATTAAGGTAACTATCATAGACTTACATGGACTTATTAGATACGTTTTTTATTACATTACCCACGGGCAAGAGATTATCAAAATAAACGCACGCCTGTGGCGATACACGACACAAGATTGTAAATTTCAAGTGTAATATTAAAAAAAATTGTGTAATCACATGTGTCAATTGATAGCTTAATGTTATATTGTGATTTATTTATATGTAGTAACGTTTTTCACATACGTTTTAATATTTAGACAAAGATAAAAAGAAATCTATTTTTCCGTAAACTTTTTGACATGCTCGTAATATAGATAGTTGGTGTTCACACTTTACAAGCATTATACACTTGATGTATTTAATTAATTTTCGTTTTGATTTATTGCAGCGAATCTCACCATCAGTACGCGCGGCGTCAACCTCGAGCTGCTCATCCACTCGCCCGTGCAGGATATGTACCTGTGCTTCAACCGCTCCAAGCTGGTCGGCAGACGTTTGGTAGGTCTTAGCTTTGTGATTTACTATTATACTGTTATTGAATGTAACTAATTTTGAACCAATTTGGGATACTGTATTATGAATACCAGCAGTATATGGAGTTTGACTCGATATATATAATGGTGACAACAAAAATATCTAATCGAATATTTTTCTCCACAGTCCCGATTTCAAGCGGAGCGACAGTCCAATTGCCTGTTCAAAGAAGAGTTTGTGGACGGCTACAGCTCCTTCCACCTGGTAAAGAACGACGACCGATACATAGGGTTCAACCGGCGCGGACTGCAGCTGCGACGACTGAAGAGCCGCCTCTCCCAGCGCTCCCAAAACTGCTTCGCCTTCATGAAGGAGAACCAGGACTTCGACATAAGCAGGCACAACCACATGGTCGCCGCGGACCGGCCCCGGCATCCGCAGCGTAGACTGCGCCCTCCACCGCAGAACTCCATCAAACCGCCATGCCACGGCGTGCGCCACCACCACGGTAGGCACCAGAGGCGGAGGAACTGCGAGGGCACGTAAACCTTTCCATTATTAGCAGCATTTAGCTTGAACGCTTCGCGCGTTTCGTCGCCAGCTGTCGACGGGCCTGTGGACAGAGTATTAGTCAACTACCGCAGTATTATTTCAGAACGAGGACTGGACGACGTTAGGCTAGCCGGCCGCGGTCGCTTCGAAACGCCGAATGGTAGCTACGGCGAGCGGGAGCAAACAGAACGAGGAAAAAGGCCGGGGCGGCTGGAGATGTGAAATTCCTTACGGTCGTGCAACATCGCGCTCGTTTGCTCTCGCGCTCGCGTACACTCGTGCTCTAAAAGGAAAAAAAGGCTTTCTGAGGAAAGAGCAAACAGTGTCGCTAGTCACGAGTCTTCTGAGAGACCACCGCTGAATTTTGATCGCCGAGGCAGCTTCGGGACGTGGAGGCGCGTCTCCGTAAAGTTGTTCATCTGGACGTTTGATAACTTTCCTAACCTCGACTGCTCCGGCTGGCTCGCCATTATTGTAGTAAAAGCGCCTTTACGTCAATTCTCAGTGTATTATTATTTAAATGCTTTAATATTAAGTTCGGATCGCGTTATCTGCTTGTAAATATATAATAAAAGTACATAATTGTGTTTACTTATTTATCGATGGAAAAATTTAATGAGAAGTTTGTAAACGTAGAGGTTAGTTGTATAGTTGTATTAAAATGATTTGTATTTAATTAATGGTTATTTAATCTATCCGACCGAGCGCTCTCTTGTGATTAGCCACAGATAATGTAACTATTAACGGTAACTTCGCATCTGTATACTTCTACCAAACGTTCTCCAATATCGATTAATGTCGCTAAGAGTTTATGTATGATTTGAGCTTTTTGTAAATATTATTTTAAGTGTTTGTTTGAGAGTGATAGGTACTTGAATCTCTATACGTTATTATTATTTCATTGTTGCGATAATAACTGATGCTTGCATTGAACAAAGGGAAGATTTTCATTCCACAATCATTAAAATATTTAGTAAATTGTAAAATAATTTTCTAACATTCGAATTTTGTTTTTCATATTATTTGCTCTATTTTATTTTTTTATACCACATACAAGAAATAAAAAGCATTTATTGTTTACAAAATATCGACAAACATGGGCATTAGTTTATTTTCGTATACAATAAATGTGTTATATAAAAAAAGAAACATCAGAAATACATTCATATAATACCAGTTCATAATACGTGAGAGAAGTTAGTCAGCAAATATATAAACACGTATTATGTTTTATGTATATTTTATGTGACAACTTATATATTAATTAGTACTGAACCATAACTGTTGTAACGTATTTATTAGTGAACATTGTAATCTTGTATATTTTAAGATCTGTGCCATAGTGAGGTGGCAGCGTACGACTTTATGTTTGCGATGTAATTAGTATATTAAGTTAATGTCTGTTAACTACAAATAAATTTTAAAAAAAATGTTTAAAGTAAGACGAATAACAAAAATCAAATGTATTCTGTACCCAGTGTGAACAAGGCTTAAGATATTGCGCTAAGGGTGTAGGCAAATGTTAATTATGTCTTACACCCAATATTATATTCAATGTAATTGTTGCTATTGTCTGCATTTTAAATATATACATTCCGTTTATATTCCATTAAAATATTCCAATGTTGACAATATTAAATAAATAATACATTCCAAAAAAAATCTGTAAATGTATAATTACGAGTAAATGCATTTAAATACACATAAAATATACGAATTTGTATATTGTATCTTCAGTAACTGTATTTATAATTATTCAGACGCTCAGAATGAAATCGTATTGCTAAGACAAATTACGAAATTAAAGCATATTTAACTCGCAAAACTGTGTGTTATTGTTTATTTCCTTATAATACATTAAACTATATAAAAGGCTTCTAAAATATAAAAATACTTTATGTACTTTTTTACGCAATTTTTTAAAATTCATTGAATTAGGTCTGGGCTAAAGACCTTTAATTTGGTATCAGGACAGAAATCTTCGTAAGATACCTTGCCTTTTTGAGAAAAAGACAAGGCTGTGACAAGGAAATGTGAGATTCTTACTCACTAAAACTCCCTCGGTGGCCAACCTCATATGTGAATGCGAGAATCCCAGGATCTCTAAAGGAACGCACTAGAACCCTATGCACTGGGCTTCTGGACAACTCCAGGAAATACTTCCTCGTTGGACTAAAGACCTAATTCAATGTCTCTAAAGAAACTATCGCCAATTATTATTTAAAATTGAATTCACTATAAATATACTAAAATCAATGTCTACAACTTTAAATATCTATGTACTAACAAATTATATTCGGCAATCGAAGATGAATATCACACAAAGTAACTTTATCAACATTTACCGTGTCCTTAGTGTATATTTACTTTGTAAATTGTACAATGTGCAAGGTCCAATAGCCGTTCCGCACATACGAATACGCAAGGTGAGGGTAGAATCGAACTCGCAAGGCTGTATCTAGTATATAATTATATCGTAAATAAATCAAAGTCAATGTACTTAATTTTCAAATTTTTCCGTTGACAATTATAAATTGCTAGCTATCGCCCGCGACTCCGTCCGCGTGTTTGTCTTAAAAATAAAAATTAAGGGTGGACTACCCTTAACATTTAAGGGGATGAAAAATAGATGTTGTCCGATTCTCAGACCTACTAAATTTGCTCACAAAATTTCATGAGAATCGGTCAAGCCGTTTCGGAGGTGTTTGGGAACGAAAATTGTGACACGAGAATTTTATATATAAGATTTAAGTACAGTTTTTGTTATAATTACGGCATTAACCATTTGTACTCAAGAAATTATTATGAACTGATATATAAAGGGCTAAAACACTAACGTATCTTCGTCCGGTGGCGGCACCAACAAGCTTCGAGCCTATTGGGGGCCCTTCATCACGGTGAGTGGGACTAGTATTATTTCGCGGACACGGCCCTTCACTCACTGAAATAATATAGTCCGCAAAATAATACCAGATAACGTCTTAGGAAAGTTTAAAATAATTTAGAAAAAATTATCAATGACATAATTATGGTATTTAAAAATTAAACTTATATCACCACTTCGCATAATTGACTTTGATCCATTCATTTATATTCAAAAAAGTTTTTTTTTCAACTTTTATTGTTTGTTAATTTTGGCATCACTCAACTTCATAAGTAGCTGGGTGGGTTGAAAAAAGTGATAGTTCCACTAAGCGGGCCGGAAAAGAAGCGTTTGCGGGTTAAATGTAAGTTCAAAAACAAACAGGGTAAAGTGGGGCTAACTGGGAACCATACCGCGCCATGCGCGTGCGCAACCCGATTAACACCTTAGCCCGTTTATACCCGAAGCGTAAGCAGGTTAAAGATTAGTAGAAATTCGACAAGATAACAATGAATTTTTAAAATAACGTAAGAATGATAAAGCAACTTACAAAATTAAAGTCCACGAGTATATAAAACGATTCTACATAGTCATTAATTGTTTCAAAAATGTAAAGAATTAATATATTTTAAAAAACAAAACTTATATTAGTAGCATACTAAATGAGTGATATTTATTAATTGTAAATTACTTCCAGACAAATATCTTTAAAAGTAAATACATAAATTATTTAATGCAGAAGAGGATAATTAATTTTCTTAACCGTGACCACGACTTATTTTCGATTACAAGAAAATACTTGCTTTAAGATGATAATGCAGCAAACATTGCAAACGAAGATTCACATATAGCTTATATAAATCAGGTGACAGTTTTTTTTCATAAGATATTCACATAACCGATACTATTAACCTTATCAAGGTATAGATTTTATGCGATAATGGCGTCGCCTCGTAAATAAATAATGGTATGTGTAAGCCATGTCATATTACATTGTACCACAATGTATTGAACAGATCATAAATATGTCTTTGACATAGAAAACTAAAATAAGTATTCTTGATAATTCTTACAAATAATACAAAACATAGTCTTGGTACAAACAGTTTTTGGTAACAAGTTTCGAATTAAACGGAACTAAATAGTACAGGACCGGGCATTGTGGCAATCGATGGGGGAGGCCTACATCCGACGTGGACAAATTTAGGCTGATTATGATGAGGATGATGAAATAGAACCTTAGTGCTAGTATACTTTGTATTTAAACAATATGTTTTCTAATTATTAATTCTAAAGAGGAAAAGTTGCAATTATATGAAGTACTTTCATAACATATGGGCTAAAAAATATGTTGCCTTTAAAATTTAATCCTATATAGTTTTCCTTTATATCATAACCCTTTTGTAAAAAAAAAATCTTCAAGCTGGTAGATGTGAAATTATACCATTTAAAAAGATAATACGCGTGAACGTCACAGAATTGAGCGACGCGAATTCTTTGTATCTCCAATTACGTAAATATGGTATTTATCTATTCAGGACCACTAATGCAGTTGTATTGCGTGTCTTGATTTTTTCTTTTACGTCAATCGATGTGTCATGTACAAAATGATGTTCATTTGTGAACTGTAGTGCGTCTCGTTTATCGGGGCCAATGGGAGAGGCGATGTTGTCGCGGTTAGATATGTCACAAAGTTCTTCAGTACGACAAGTGGGCTAGCACGAATATTTGTGCGCATTCGTATTGTCATTGTGAACACGGTAGGCGCAGCGCAATTTTCAATACAAATTTCGCCAATGCCGATATGACATTTATAGGACACTAGTGAGTTATCACAATTTAGTTAAAATAATTTATCAATTCAAAAAATATTCATGGTGTTTAATTATTATTCTACTTAGTACATTTCCTACATTTGATTTTCCTAAATAAATTACTGTCAATTTGATCGGTCAAGGTTTATTTTTGAGGCTAACGTAGACGAAGTATCCTTATAAAATTGGATGAGAAGACGTCTGATGTGTTTTTCTTTCAACTAGATTAAAATAGAATTAAAAATAAAAATATAAAAAGTTTGATGAAAAAAACCAGTAAATTCAGGCTCTACAGAGAAACATCTAAGAGTAATAGATAAATATAATAGTATAATGAAATTTTTGTAACCTTTTTCTTTGGACTTGTAAGAGAGCGACAAGGAAACAATTTGTAGAAAATTCGTTCATCTAGTTTGGTATTTGTTAGTATATTTGTACGCGTGACACGTATTATGATACAAGTGGATACGTCACTAGTATTGGTGGAGCGCCGATACGTGCATTATCGCACTACTCCGCCACTGCCAGCCTTAGAGCATTCGTAAATGCTATGTATTTAAATTAACAAAGAACAAAAAATCTTTTAGAAACAAGTTGTAATTCCGAATCTTCAAAATCTGTAAGGCTTCAGAAAACTACTATGAAACATACCAATAATACAATTTCTCTATCAGGCACAGTTAACTATACCTTCTAAAAATGTAGAACATAAATTGTCAGGATCAGGAAACCTTTAGTGCGCTCATGGGCATGAACTTGACAGGGATTCTGAGAAATTTTACCAGTCTTAATAAGATGCACAAACTATGTACATGTGTAATGATGTAAACATGTAGAAGTCCTTGTCGGAGCCGCGGTATGTCTCTAACGGACAGCTAACATTGTACAAAGTTCAAGTCCGGTCGTGTAGTACAGGTGCAAGGCGGGCTTTCATATTTTTATTTATGATGCGAACTTAGAATTTTACTTCTTATGTCTATATCTGTCCTATGCCTTTGGGTAAGCGATTTTACTAATTTTAACTTATTATACATTTTTACTTTACTAACTTCAAAAATGCCTCTTGAATTGTAGACAGTAAATTAACTCACTTAAGCATAAATATCCTTACTATTTAATTGTGGTCAATTAATGAACATATACTTTATCTTTTTATTTGGCTGTGCCTTCAATGGACATGGAGACAACCAAAGCGGAAATCGAACTCTAGTAAAATATAAAGATGACGTGGTTACGATAGACGGCAATAACTTTGCTTTATAAAAGAGTTAGTAAAATTGCATATAAACGACCTAGACGTAAATTGTGAATGCGTTGCTATTAAAACGTAATGTTTCTACTATTCAGTACGTCAAATTGTCACGCCCATATAACTCGCTTCACGGTTTTAACATTCGCTGAAACGTTGCTCTTGCATTACATCATATGACCGGCTTACACGTGAAACGTTTATGGGCATTTTGACTTCATTCTTAACATAAAATACGTCGTACAAATTATTGTCGAGGTTGAGGAAATTGATAAATCTATTCGTTCTGCAGCTCTAACTATGTGATTGAACTTCATGCTTGTTATTTATGAGTAAAATTACTTACTGAAATTGTTTTCAATTGTCACGTTTCTTTTTTTAATTTCAAATAAAGTAAGTAACCTCACTAATATTATAGACGCGAATGTTTAGATGGATGGATGGCTGTTTAAAGATATCTCCAGAACGTGTGAATGAATCTTTATGAAATTGGGCAAAAAAAAAACATAGTCTGGTAGAACACATAGGCTACTAATTAAGTTTTTTTTTAATTTTCCGCGGACGGAATCGAGTACGGCAGCCAGTAACTGCATTATATATATATATTTTTACTTTCTTTAAATATGACGTGACGCTTATCTTAGAGCGGTTTGTTATAAAACATTTACTCTGTGGTCCGAAAT